TATCCTCCATCACAGCGGATTTGAAAAGGTAAGGGGAAAAAGAATGTGTGTGATGTGCGCTTTTCTGCTTTGAAACAACGGGTCTATCCTTACCTTTGCAGGTGTACTTGTCGGGCTGCAGCTTCATGAGGTGAGGACAGGCGCAGGAGAAGGTCTGGTTAAAGTTGATGAGACACAAGTGGGAGCAAAGGGGTTTACCGTCAGCGGGGGCACACGGGTTGGGGGCTGAAAGGAAGGAAAAGAAAAACATTAATTAGGATGTTTCAAGAAAGCAAGAGAGACAAAAATGCAGATGAGACGTGTTTTGTGAGAAACACAGGAAGAGGAGGCTCAGTGAGCTTTGAAGATTTCAGTGAATATAATACTAATAACTCTGCACAGTGGTATTACACTGAGACATGCTGGAGCCTGCTTGTGTCAGAGGAATTAAATTAACCTTTTACTCTTTTTTTATTGGCCTTTAAGGCAATTAAGTGGAAAAAAAAACCGATTTGTGCCTTAAGGAGTCCACAGACTGTGTGACTATAACAAATTCATTACAATGTGCATCATTCGACTTGTGCAGGACATGAAGTTAGATGCACGGAGACTGTGCAGTGTAAGAGTGAGATCATGGGTTGCACAGCTGCAGCTCCTCCACTGTTTACTTCCTCTTGACAGGATTATGATAACAGCTGGAGAACTCATTGTACAAACAAGGCTTCTTCTGCTACAACTCAGCTACACATTCTTCTGCATGGGAATTCCAAATATTTTGTTTTCCATTTTTATTTTAGTTTAGCTTTTTTCCCCCCACAATAGCACCATAGATATGGTCAGATTGGCTGCAGTCATTTCATTCACATAGGTAGCAGCAACAGTCATAGTGTGAGATGGTCAATTCTGGGCTCAGGCTATCATTCGTCATAAAACTATTGCAAATTTCAAACTGTGACCAGTGGTATGAAACAATATCATCACAGTTATTTTACACTGGCTATTATTTATCAAGGACAGCTGAAACAGACATAGTTTAAGACAATAGAAATACCCCCAACCCTCCAAGGGCCAAGAGTGGAGTATAAATGTGTGTGAAAGGGTAAAGGTGGCCCCATTTCCATTTACTTTGTCTCCCGGATCTGTCACCCAGCTTGCTGCTTCGTCACTGTCATCGTTATTGGTTGCAACTGTCAATCAACAGTTTTGTGAGATCCCTGTTTCCCTGTCACCAATTACACACCCAGTGCCTCTCCACTGCCCACATACCCTTGGGATCCCCTAACCACCAGCTACTAAACAAGGTGACAGCGCGACATGGCAAAACGCTCAAAAATAAATCCGACGACCCTTTTGTAATCTTGTCAATCATGTGTGTCTGTGAGATCAGATCAACATATGACATTTAAGTTGCAGGGGGAGGATTTTATTTCCTACCCGGGCCGTGGGAAATGTCAAACAGTGAGGTGACTTTTTGATCAACAAGGCAAAAGCAGGAGGTGTCCAAAATGCTCACAGTGTGAGGAGACAAGAAGCCTCGCAGGTCTAAAAGGTCAGCTGTCTTGGGGGAACAGGAGCCATGAATAACATGGTGAGCAATGAACTGTGAGCTCGCCACCCTTCTCCTTAGAGTTACAGCCCAAAAACATTCAGCCATGCTGACAAGCAGGGGTACATGTGTGACACGGTCGCTCTCCCTATGCAAGCATGTGTTTCTCTGCGAATGTCTATGCCTCTTTGTCTGGTATGCTACGTACCCTGGGGTTGCCTGGATGGGTGATAGACCTGCAAGTCAAAGGGCTGCGTGTTGGTGCGCTGCACCACAGTAACGTTGTGTCCTGTCCATTTATTGGCTTTGGCCAGAGTGTTAGTCCTCCAGTCAGTCCAGTAGACCTCGCCTCCGTACATAGTGACAGCAAAGGGGTGGGACAAATACTCATGACCCCGCAACACTTCAATCAGCCCCGAGCCATCGTACATCGCTGAGTAGATAGCATCCGACCTTGAGAAACAACAGAGAGATGTGTAGCATGTAAGAGCAGAGACATATCAGGTTATTTATTTGCTCTTTAAATGTAGTTTGTTGTGAGCAAAGAACAAAACACTGGTGTAGCACCCAGAGATGAAGAAAACTGAGCGAGTGGGTGATGGAATAAGCAAGTGGGTAGATGCGGTGCAACCTGAGCCGTATATTTAGAATCTAGTGGCAGACGCTACCTGGCATCAATCCAGACGATGCGTCTTTCCATGTAGTCCACAGTGAGTCCGTTGGGCCACCCACCACTGCCGGTCTCCCTGTGGATGGTGCGTCTACCTTCACCGCTCATGGATGCTGCCTCAATTCTGGGCAGACTTGCATCCCAGTCGGTCCAAAACAGGATACTGGCGACAGAAAATGATCAATGTGAGGAGGGATTTTACAGATGTGTACAACATCATCGCACGAGAACTGGTTAATGAAAGAAACAGCAGGATGAATATATCCATCAGATATATATCCATGTTTGGATATATGGTTCTTACCCATCTCGAGGATCTAGGGCGATGGCCCGGGGATGCTCCACTTCGCCGGCTAGCAGGGTCGTTCTCATGGTCCCATCCAGTTTGGCCACCTCAATCTGGTCCAGATTGCTCTCCACCCAGTAAATGTTTCCTGCTATCCAGTCCACAGCTAGGCCTTCTGGAGTAGCCAGCCCATACTGGATCACCACCTCAAAACTGGTCAGGGCTGACCGGAGACGAGAAAATCCGCACGGAAAATTAAAAAAAATGCTTCTTTTTTATTTTAAAGCTACACATCAAACATGACAATTTTATAGCATGTGAAATTTTAATGCTAGTAAAGTTTTAAGAATGGGGAAAAAGCATGGTTTGTTTTACTTTGACTAAAAGAGAGAAAATCTCAAGATGGCTCATTTATCACAAACACCCCTGAAGACAAATCAAACCAACATCTAAGAAAACACACAAGACCTCAAACATTTGGCTTTAGTGCAAACTAAGTGCAAAACCACAACTTGTGATCAATCTTTGGCTCAGCGTTAAAGCACACATTTCTCCCAAATGCCTTCCAGTAGTAATTAGAGCGAGACGGGTATGTTTTTGCAGTTTGCTTGAAAGAACAGTGGAGTGATATCTGCCTTCATGTGTCTTCATGCGGGCCAGGGTTCCTTTATTAAGGCGCTGGCACTACCCAGTTTATGCCCACTACTTTGGAGCTGCTGAAATGACCTACTTAACAAGCAGCAGGAGGTGATCTATGAGCTGGTCACAATGTTCCTGCTCAGGAGCCTTGTTTTAATGTTAAACTTGGAGGGCTGGGAACTGGAACAGCAGCGTGTTGTGCCTCCTACGCTACATCAGTGTTTTGGCTGCAGTCAGGCACAGCAAGTACTGAGACAAATAGGAAGAGACAAAGCCTTCCGTGTGCCCCCTTAGTGCTGTGCTGAGAACACAACTTGATTGGCGAGCAGACCTGGGTTTTTGGAGCACGAAAGGCTGACCACGACCTGCGGGATTTATTCAGGGTCACGGACCACCACTGCTGACCACAGCCTCTTTGAAAAAACAATTGGCTCTGAGAAATTAGAGCGTATTTGTTCAGCGGAAGTTAACTTCCACGAAATGCTCGGTTAAAAATCACGATTTGCTTATGTAATCGCCACCTCGCAAGAGTTTTGTTTTACTTTAACAAAAAGATTATAAGATGCAAAATCAGAGCAAAAAAAAAAAAGAGGACACAACAAGCTAACTCACCTCCATTATCAGACAGTTTCCCACGATAGATCTTGTCCTCCACAACATCCGTCCAGTACAGGGTGCTCTGGTTGAGATGGAAGTCTAAAGCAATGGTGTTTCTAAGGCC